GCACTATGACTTTATATTATGCACTGTACATTATTTTTGTTAAGTGACAAGACTTTTGTCTAAGCAAAGTCAGACCTTAATGTCCTAATTAAATCATTAAAAATCAAGGCATGATTATATTTTATTTTGGTAATATAAGCGTAATCTAGAGGCTTTTGCCTTTCATATAAGCCACATCTGATACCAAATGATCAACCAGAAGTTATTTGTTTTTCCTAAAATCTGGATCGGCGACAAGACTTGTCAGGTAGTAAATTTTTCTTTTTTCTATTTTTTTGTGTTTTTTTTATCAAAGCCTTAGAGGAAGATTGGAAAGAGAGAAAGACAGACAATGGAAATTACAAGATAGTGTGAACATCACACACTGATGCCCCACAGCTGCTGTTTATCTCCAGTTTTTCCCTCTACATTCACTCAGCAGCCCAGAACAAGAGGAAGCACATCCTCTTCCCAGAGTCTTTACCTCAGGTTCACCACAGCTCTGCAGGAGCTGAGCAGGATATTTATAAATGACATGATCTCCTTTCCTTTTCTACAGAAAGTCCCAGTGAAACTCTCAGTCTCTGTGGAGTTTGAGCAGTTTGTTCTCAGCACATAATATGGACAGAGGCGCTCTCATATCTGGATCAATGAACATACTGTCTTGCACTTTCTCAAGGCTTAATAAAAAAAAAAGTTAAAGAAAAATGCTGGATCTTTTTGAGTTGTTTGCTCATTATTGGAGGTTTTCTGTATAAGCACATTGGACAGCGGGAGGTATGGGTTGCTAAGCTAGCTGTTAAGACTTGGATCAAATGTGACTCTTCTCAGCGTGTGTGCACACGGCCTGCATTAAGGAATAATAGCCAGCAACTTCAGTCCGGATTATAAGATTCCCTCTGAGGACAGAACAAAAACCAAACTCCAATTCAAGCATGTACTTAGGGTTGCCAGGTCTAAGAAGCAAAACTACTCCAATGTCCAGATGAAAAGAGCTCAAAACTAGTCTGAGCAGTTACTCTATTATAAATACCAAAATGTAAAATATGTTAGTTCTTTGTCTAAAATACATAGATTACACTACTATCTATGTGTGTAAATCTTTTTTTGCACAATTTCAATGTTTTCTTATAACAAGACAATCCTTTAAACAGAGGAGACAATAGGAGCTCACATGATCCAGTATAGAAAACACATCACCCTGTATAGTTGTGTCAATGGTAGAAAATAAAATATGTAAGATAGTTCAATGCAAGTCAACCACCAGCAAAATAAAACATAGCCTGTTTTCACAGGAAAATCATGGACTTGGCCCTTTATGCCTGACATTTCTACTTCTGTTTAATAATATATGCATTTCCAACAAATTCCAAATATTATTTCAGAAATATAACTACTTGTCGAACATTTTTATTGTGATTTGTGCTGTTGTATTAACATGCTGTAGGTTAGGTACGCTGATTAATAATGAATACTTCCTGTTGCTGTGGAACATACCGAAACATGTCTCAAGCAATCAGCACCAGCATTTTGAACTTATTAATTTTCATAAACAAAATTTTACAATGGTTTGCTGCTTTTTTTTAATTTATGATGCACGGCACCAACATACACTTGTGTAACATTTGGCCTACATACATACTTATATTCATTTTTCTGTCAACAAATCAACACCCACTCTCTGCAAGAGCTCAGCTGTGCATATGGAGAACAGTTATGATAATGTGTCTACACCTGTGACTTTATAGTCCTTCCCACGCAGGTCCGATTAGTCACTAAAACACTCCTGTCCAGTGTAATTCTGCACATTTTACATGTGCAATATTCGCTTACACCTGTAAGCTTCCTACCTGCCTCTCGACCTGCTGACATCTACACATGAAAATCAACCCACATACACCAAATATGAGAACGGACCTTCACACAACCTCCCATTAAACACACTCTGTGAGCACAAAGCACAATGCTGTTTGCCTGGCTCTGTGTCTTGAATGTGGAGTAAATATATCTGATGAGCCCATTCTATTTGCTGGTAATTCGGATGCCTGCTGGCATTTCTATCAGACTGAATTCTGTCCCAGGCTGAAAGAAATGTTAAAACAGAGGCATGAGGGCACATCTGTTGACCCTACACCCTTACAGACACAATGCTCTTTAACTTTTCCTCTAGCTTTTTTTTTTTTTTTTTTGTTGCAAATTTCATACCTTTAGGTTAATCCAAGAAAGGAGTGGTTGAATAATTTAATTTAGTTTTACTATTATTACTATTGTTATTATTAATTACAGATTATTATTTACTGAAGTATTTATTTATTTTTTTGGTCAAAACTGTTTACTTTGCTAATCAGCACATAAATGCTCAGATAAGAATATTTAGCCCACTAATGCTAAGCAATTTTTTATACTACTTGGGAGATATTTCCTGTGTGAGAAATTTTCTCAGCCATTTAATAAAATGCATAACATTTAATGCTTTTATTGAATTTATTTGAATAATATTTTTTAGCTATAGTTCCTTACTTATCAGATATTAGCATCCGCAGTGATTTATTATCTAACGCATTGCGCTTATGTGTGACAGAAAGTGACGTAATGCCAGCTGTTTTATAGCCCTGCAGTGAGAGATGTGTCCTGTCCTGTTCATGACAGTCTGGGTGTGTGACCGTTTCAGTCCCGAGAGTCTGAGAGGAAATCCTGCTGCACAGCTGTGTGGTCCAATGCTAGTCTTTATGTGCTCTCACACTCACTGTCTCTCACTGTCTGACACTGAGTGCTGTTCTGCTCACTCAGCACACACACACACACACACACACATACACTTCAAGGTCATTTAGTGTAACACGGTATCCATCAGTCCAGCCTCCACTCAACATTTTAACCTTCTCTATCAGAGCAAAACACACACACACATACACAGACACCACTTCTCACACAGTCAGCATCTGCATCATGCATATCTGCAACTGCAACACACATCTCTGCATAACCACTGGATTCTTAAACACTGGAACTACTAAATGTTCACGTCACTGATTTAAGATAATCATAACCTAAATGACCGAATAAATATCTAGTGATCAAAATATCTAAATAATAATGATGATCATAATAATATAATTGGAACATGATATATTTATAAACAGTAAGTAAAAAATTATTGAACGTGTCATCATTTTTCTCAGTAAACATATTTTTTTAAAGATGCATTTGGTTTGGATTTTTCACTGGATGTCTGTAAAAACTAAACTAATTCATAGATATAAAGATTTAGAAACGAAGTTATGTGTAATAAAATGAGATGACACAGGGAAATAGTACTGAACACATAAAGAAAGGTGTAAAAGACAGCAACTGAAAGCTTTCAGTATTTAGAAAGCATCCCTGCCTCTTGTCAGTGTAAATGGATATTGTCTGGTTCAAACACAACATCTGCATTACCAGAATGCTGAAGATGAAAACCAGGGTGGACAATTCAAGAAGATAATGATTCCAAATACAGCCAAGGGAACTCTCAACTAGTTTAAGAAAAGAAAATAAAGCTGCTAGAATGGCCCAGGCAATCACCTGAACTTAGCCCAATCGAAAACAGTAACAGATCAGAGTTTATTGAAGATACCCACAGAACAGTCAAGATTTTTAGACTATGTTGACGTCTGGGAACAAATCACACCTAAACATTGCATGAATTTTTTTACAAGTGGCATCTTAAAGGATTACCCAAAAAAAGAAATAGGTATTGCTGGAATAATTAAATTTTATTATTATTATTATTATTTTGTTTAAGATTTATTTTGGACCTTTTTGCCTCTTTGTTTCAGATAGAACAGTAGTGAGACAGGAAGTGAAGTGGGAGAGAGAGAGGGGGGTTGTAGGGTTGGGAAATGTCCTCAAGCCAGGATTTGAACTCGGGACGCTGCACCTGATGTGTTGTTGCACCATATGTCGGCGCGCTAACCACTAGGCTATTCTTGACTAATTTTCATTTTAATAACATTTTTGTTGAATTATATTATTCCACAAAAGTATTAAGTAGCATATTACGATACATTTTATCAGCATTTTAGAATAATTTATGAACTATCTAGTGAAATGTTCACACACACGTGTATATGGAGAAATAATAACAAGCATAAATAGACTAAATAATACTTAGATATAAAAGTCTTGTTAATCTGTGCAACATTTGAGTTAGGCCTAGCTATGATTCCAGCTTTACAGACTGTGACAACAATCTTTTACGTGTGTACTGAATAATCACCGATTTCATAAAGTCATAAAGGTTTTTCTGCATCTCTTAATGAATTAAGTTCATTTAACCAGCAGCTCATGACAAGATTTCATTAGAGACAGCACAAATCAAACCTAAACAAACATGTTGACAAACATACAAACAACCCACAATAAAGACTAAACTACTTCAGCCTGATCCACATTCATACAGTACTTCCAGCTAATTTGAGCTACTTTTTGACCCTCATTGTGTTTTCAATGTCAAAAAGTGGTCCACTTGACTCAAATTCACCCTAAATCTCTGGCCTCCCTCTTTTCACCTTCTCCCTTTCCTCCTTATAATCAGTCAAGCATATAAGTTTGTGACATACACAGTCTCTCCTCAGAAAAAAAGTACAGCTCAGGCTTTATGCAGGACAGCACTGGATTAAGAGCTTCACTTTGTAATCAGTCTGCTAAAGCTAAACGCACACACAGACACTCACACAAACACAAACACAAACATGCCTCACCCAGCCAAGACCCACTGCCCTACTGCGGGACGGCCACTCGCATATTAAACACACACAGACATCCAATCAAACAAATACACATAGAAGTTTGTATCCTGCACTTATATAGTAAGATGCCCCTGCATGAACACCTAGACACACACACATGCAAACACACACACTCCACCTGTCCGACACTGCAGCACACATTACAGTCACAGATTCAGCAGAACATCCCACTGCAGTGAAGCCCGAACCCAGCAGCCCCTCCCAGCCTCACGCGCTCCTGCACACGCTTACCTTTGTGACAGTCATGCAGAGAACAGTGCAGAAGAGTCAGTCTCTGATCCTGAAATGCTGACAGAAACAGCAGGACAGACACACAGAGAGAAGGAGCCACTGAGCATGTGCTGCCTGAAGCTTCTACGACAGCAGAATGAGCTTGTGAAACAGAGAGAGAGGGAGGGTCTGGTCGCTGTCTCTCTTTAAGTATCTGAGCCTATCAGTGGCGCAGCAGCCGTGGTCTTGTATAGTCTGGATACTGCAGTGAAG